TCTCTCTCCCCATTCCCTCTCTCTCTTGTCCCCCTTCTCTCCTCCTTTTCTCTCCTGTGATTACAGAAGCAGGAAATACGTGGCAGTGCACAGTTCTGACCCCGACTTAGTCCCCAGTGCCCGAGTCTCCTGTTCCTGTCCGCTGGCAGAATTTCTTCTTGCTCTGGGACTTCAATTTTTTTTATTCTACTCAGCCTTCCCCGATTTAGGGGAGAGTCCCACCTCCATTTGGGAGAGCAATTTGATTTCTTAAAGCTCACCCGCATAAACGTTAATCTCACTGGGAAGCACAGAAATATCCCTAATAATGCTGGGCTGAGTACCCAGCCTCGTCCCGATCATCCCAATCAGGTGGACACACAGGATTAAGCCTCAGCTGCTCTCAATATAGCCAGTCTGCCCGAATGAGAGTCCCAGCCTTCCCTTCCTTCTTGCCTCCAGCGCCCCCAGGAAAGAGCCCGGCTGGGGACACCCCCAGTTCTCAGTCTTGCCCCTTGCAGAGTGCTGGCACCACTTAGCCAGAGGCCACCAGGAGCTCCCTCAGCCCTGGCACAGTTCTGGGCAGCTGGAAATGAACATTTCCCGAAGCAATCCATCACGCCCTGCCCAGTCGCCAGGGTGATGAGGACCACGCCGACAGAATGAAGCATGAGCGGCTTTTGGGTTTGTCGGCAGCTACCGCTTCTTTAATGAACCGCGACTGACAGGAAAAGGCGTCTCAGGCGTGGTTGCCTAGCACCTTCCTTGCAGTGCGCCTGCTTTATTACTATATTTTAATAATGCTGCCTACTCTTAAACTATCACATCTCTAGCAAATGGCTGCATTGCCTCAGCTTTGCAGTGATATTCACCAAAGACAAACTCACACCGATTTTAGGACTACAGGAGGCACAAATAGAAGCCATGTCATGATGTCTTAGACTCAGCAGACCCTAGTTTCTTGAACCTTCTATACTCCAAAGAAAGACCCATTTTCAGAAGGACTGGCGCTGGCCGGCACCAAGGAACATAAACTTTGAAATGGTCTTTATTTATTATTATTATTATTATTGTTGTTGGACTGGAGTGATAGCACAGCGGGCAGGGTGTTTACCTTGCATGCGCCCAACCTGGGCGACCTGGGTTTGATTCCTCTGCCCCTCTCAGAGAACTCAGCAAGCAACTGAGAGTATTTTGCCTGCATAGCAAAGCCTGGCAAGCTCCCCATGACGTACTGGATATGCCAAACACAGTAACAAGTCTCACAATGGAGACGTTACTGGGTCCACTCGAGAAAATCGATGAACAACGGGAGGACAGTGACAGTGATGATGATGATGATGATGATGATGATTGGACTGGAGTGATAGCACAGTGGGTAGGGCGTTTGCCTTGCACGTGACTGATCCAGATTCGATTTCTCACCCCTCTCAGAGAGCCCAGCAAGCTACAAGAGTGTCCCACCTGCATGGCAGAGCCTGGCAAGCTCCCCGTGGCGTATTTGATATGCCACAAACAGTAACAAGTCTCACAATGGAGACGTTACTAGTGTCCACTTGAGAAAATCGATGAACAACAGGAGGACAGTGCTACAGAGTATTATTATTTTGGATCACCATGAGATACACAGTTATTACTGTTCATGGTCAGGTTTCAGTCATACAGTGTTCCAACACCATCCCTCCACCAATGTACATTTTCCACCACCAATATCCCCGGTTTTCCTCCCACTCACCCCCTGCCTGCCTCTATGGCAGACTTTCTCTTTCTCCTGTCTATCTGTCTGTCTGTCTGTCTGTCTGTCTTTCCTATAAGAGTGATTTTGTACGTTCGAGTCCTGGGGCCATGTTGTATCAGTTTAGACTCTGGGGGACAGGAGAGAGAGACTGAGTTGGACTGTCCCATCTGACCGAGCCCAGTGAAAATCCTGGGTAGCAAGACTCAGTGAAGTCTCCTGGTTGACAGCCTTTCCCTGAGTTGCCACGCACCACTGCCTGAACAGTTGTGTCCTACACAACTCCCTTGGGAGGGCACATTTGGGCTCTGGCACCTGGCATCCCCCCTGGACGTGGCCTTGCACCTTCTCCCTTTGCTCTTGGGGACCCTTTCACTGTAATGAGCCACACACATGTTCCAATGAGCCGCAACAACAGTTCCCAGTCCGTGACCCCCCGAATCATTGGTTTTCTCTTTAGGGCTCCCTGTTGGCTCAGGGCACTTTGGTGGGAAGCAATTGAAGAGCTAACTTTGGGGAATCTCGAGAGCAGGAGATTCATATCATGAAAGGGTGGAGCTATAGCTGGAGTGCTCGAAGGTGACATAGGAGGTAAGGAGAAGAGAGGCAGCTTCAAGAGGGCTGCCTGACCCCTCCCCTTCCCCAACCTGCCCCCTCATGCGAAGGATCTAGCACCTGAGCCTGTCCTCTGTGGGGCCTAGCCCAGAAGGGCAGCGATGAGGTACTGTTGTAGACTTACAAATTTTTGTGCTTGGGTTTCAATTATACAATGATCGAGTACCCATCCCTCCACCAGTGCCCATTCACCACCACCACTGATCCCAGTATCCCTCCCACTCCCCATCCCTCCCATCCCACCCTGCGTCTGTGGCGGGGCATTCCCTTTTGTTCTCTCCCTCCTTTTGGGTGCTGTGGTTTGCAAAAGAGGCATTGAGTGGCACTCATGTTCGGTCTATAGTCTACTTTCAGCATGCATCTCCCTTCCTCCCAACACCCTTTATTTGGTGTTCCCTTCTCTATCTGAGCTGCCTTTTCCCCTAGCATGTGTGGCTGGCCTCCAAGTCATGGAGTGAACTTCCTGGTACTTATCTTGGCTATTCTTGGGTATTAGTCTCCTATTTTGTTACTTTATGTTCCCCAGATGAATGCAATCTTTCTATGTCTGTCCCTCTCTTTCTGACTCATTTTGCTTAGCACGATACTTTCCATGTAGTACCACTTGTATGTAAATATCATGACTTGATCTTTTCTAACATCACACCCGGCTCTTAAGGTTGGAAACTCAGGGTCTCTGCATGGAGAGTGGCAGTTGGGGTGATGCCGGAAGGGGAGTCTCTGACCAGACTGGACACGTGGCACTGCCATCTCCTCCCTCCAACTAGCCTCCCAAGGGTCCTTGTCTCTGGGCTCAGCCCCTCCCTGCCGCCTTGGGGGGGTGTCTGCGGGCCCCTGTTCTTCTGTGAAGCTGAGGATGCTGTGTACCCCTGGGTGCCTCAGGAACATGTGAGGGAGGCAGGGCTGAACACTGGGTCTCAGAGGTGCCCACTGGTCTTTCCTCGGGTTTTTTTTTTTTTTGCTTTTTGGGTCACACCTGGTGATGCACCAGGGTTACTCCTGGCTCTACACTCAGTAATTACCCCTGGCGGTACTCAAGGGACCATATAGGATGTTGGGAATTGAACCTGAGTCTGCCGTGTGCAAGGCAAATGCCCTACCCACTGTGCTATCGCTCCAACCCCTCCTCCAGTCTTTGAAGAGACTTCTGGGACTCTGTGCTTGCATCTGCACCCCGAGGAGGGAAGACCGTCCAGGTTGGGAAATCAAGTCACAGAGCAGAATGCATGGAGCACTTGCTCCTGGTGCCTGGTGAAGACCAGAAATGAGGTCACTGGCACCCCAGGCCAGCCTTTGGGTCCCTGGGAGCAGGGGACCTTGGATGTGAAGAAACTGGGTGAAAACTAAGTCCTCTGAGATCTTGAGGTTCAAAACCTGGCAGGGTTTGTAATGGCCTGAGTGTAATGAATGAAGCAAAGCTCAGCTTTCGAGGATCAGCACAGCCTTAAGTGCACAGGTCTGGGGCTCTGGCCACACGCCAGGGGTCCACCAGCCAGGCCAGAGTTGAGTGTCCATGCCAAGAGATGGATGGCATAGATTTTTGTAAAATTATTCTTCCATAAAGCGTCATTTTAAAATTTCACTTTCTCACTCTGCATAAACCTTTAACACTCGCACGATGACTTCCGCTCTTCAGTAAGGAAAGCACACCTGATCCGGCTCGGACATCAGCATACGTGGAACCACCACAGGCCCAGGTGACATGTTCCTTTGTTTAGATGCTTCTTGAGAACTTTGGTTCTCACGGCGTGAACTCCACCAAGTTGGCCAGGGCACACACCACATGCAAACTTTGGTGCTCAACCACTTTGGTATAAAGGTAAACAACTCTATGTCCAGGGGTTCGAGAGCTGAGTGTTGCTGGAAGATGTATTGCTGGACAGTTGACAGGGATGGTATGGCAAATGCTGGACCATTCTGAAGGCTTCTAAGACACTGAGAGGAGAAAACTATGGCATAGATTTCTTATGCTTTGAGGTCCTTGTCCTTTTTCTTAAGGCTAAGCTTATTTCAAGTCTCAGACCCAGCCTTTGTACCCTCTTTGGGCTGATGGGGATGAGTTTGATTCAGGAAAGATGCTTTGGATCCCGACTCCGGCTCTGTCATGATGTCATGTGGGGTAAATTACTGTTCTACCTTGGGTCCAGTTATCTGAAAATGAGGGCATTGGAATAAGTGCTTTGTAAATTCCCGTCTTCTGTTTGTTTTTCTATCTGCTGAGTGAATGAAGTTAAACCAAACACCACTGAAAACCCCTCCTTGCTGTTTCGGTTTCTACTGCAGGTTAGAACCAACACTTTGATCCAGGTGTTACTACAGGGTTAACTTCGGTTGGGTGGAATCTCAGGGATGTATGTCTTTGGTTGGTATTTTTTTTGGGGAAGTCAACACCCCCAAATTTCATAATGTTACCTTTTGTGACTTGGGCTTTAGTTTCAACATGGAGTCCGAAAGCTAAAATATGAACACCAAGACTCCCCCTGGTGACCTGGAACCACTTCCCTGATGATCCATCTGGGTCAATTCTCCTCTCCTTATCAGTTCTGTGTGCAAACTCTCAAAACAGGAACTTTCAAGGAATCAAAGAGAAGAGGACCCAAGGGGTTAACCACCACCAAGACAGGAGAAAAACCCGCCCAGGAAGGAGAGACTACTTCGGTAAATAAACGAATCCATGTTCCAATAAAACTTTATTTGGCCCATTCTGATCAAGTTTAATAAGGTTTAATAAATTTCTTTTTAAAACACAAGGAGTAGTAACAGTTTCTCTGTCAGAACAATCCCGTATGAATTCCTGGTCAAGATCAGCAGCTTGTTCCCCGAAAAAGCAAAGCCACCCTTGAAGGACAGATGGCACATGAGGGCGGTCAGTGTACGTGTCCTTGTCTTTAAAAGAAAACAAACACTACTTATTTACATTTTCCTTGGAAAAATCGGTCAGTGTGATTAATTCGGTTTTTAAATATAGGTTGCTAATGTGTTGCCTGTTTCAATGTACAAATCCTAGTTAGCTGATCGGGTTTAAGGTGCTGTCGAGGTGAGGATGAACACAGCCCAAGACCAGACTGGGCAGTGTGTCGGGGGGAGGGGGTCCCCTGCTCACAGCTGCGCTAGACTTCCGGGCAGGGGGAATCTTTGGGGTTGTCAGGCAGGGAAGGGAAAGAAAGGGCAGAGCATTCCAGGGGACAGTGATGCCTCTGGGTCCACACTGCGCCTGGCCGTGTGAGTGCTTCTCTGTCTGTCTGCTCCAAACTCATTCCAGCCTCCACTAAGATGGGCTGCTGGCTCTGACGCCTTCAATTTGTGGGGTCTCCAGGGCGTTGCCTGGTCCTGAGGGTTCTCGCTGTGGGTACCCCACCTTTCAAATGTTCCTTTCCCAGATATCCTCTGTCCTCATGCCACGCTCTGTAATGCGTTTCTCAGGAGAATTTTCTCTCTTTCTCTCTCTCTCTGTCTCTCTCTGCCAGGGCTACGTGCATGATGGAGACCAAGGGCGGTTCTCATGAAGCGTGAGAGATGGAAGGTGAAATTTCTCTGACACAGATGCCCTGTGATGGGCACCTCGGTGCTCTCCCCCACACGTGTGGATAATGCAGGGCACATGGCAGAGGCGTTGTGGGGGAGGGGAGGTGTGCAGGGGTCATGGGGTTCTTGGAATGGCTGTCTTCAAGCTCACCGTGTGGAGGGTCCCCTCAGGAACTAGGGCTGTGTCTTTGTGTCAGTGCCTGGGTGAGGAAAGTGCATAGGGGTTCTGGGGGGAGACGTATACACAAGGCCTGATGGATGAGCTGGTTGACCCCTAGACCCCCAAGCTGGTCTGAGCTAAAAACCGAGATTTCAGCCCGCGCAGGGGTGAGGCGATTGGGAGGGGGAGGAGGCGAGGCGACTGAGCAGAATTTCAGCACTTTGGAGAAGCCAGGGAAAGGACGCTTAATGACAAGGGGGAAAGAAACGGGGGTCTGTTTCCAAGCCGGGGAGCCAGTGGGCTTTGCAGTGAATGAAAGACTGTTGGATGTGTCCGGGTGGACAGGAAGGAAACATCCTGGGCGTTGTTCCCTAATGGCCAGAACCTCAGGGCGGGGAGGTGTGAGATGGGGAGAGAGTGGCTGGGGGGGACCCCAGGAGTCTGAGTTTCAAGGTGAGCCCCCCACCTTGGCCTCGTCACACCCTCTGTCCCCACCTGTCATTTCAGGCTAGTGCACACTTAGATGGCTTCAGACATTAACCACTGGGCTTCCCCTGCACCCGGCCAAGCTGCTTGGGCCGGCAAACCGCACCCACACCCCATCCTTCCCTGCGCACCCCAAACTGCAGAGGCAGCCTCTTCGCTGGGCAAGTGACCCATGCCACTCCGCTCCCCCAACTAGGCTCCTGTTCAGACTCGCTCCCAGAGGTTAAAGGCTAGTTATTAAGGCAGTTTAAGAAATGGACAGTCCCCTCTGGCTCCTGCGACGCTTCCTACGCTTCTGCTAAGCTAGGGTGGCCAGAGACGGGGAGGAAGGGGTGGTGGAGGGGCCAGGGAGGCGTCCCCTGCCGCCCAGGTGGACTCCGGCTGGCTGGCTGGCTGGCTGGCGGGGGGAGGGGGCGCGGGTCCCCTGGGCCCTCACCACCTTTCTTTGGAGAAGGCCTCGGCCTGCACCAGGTCGCCGGGGTGCTCGGTGATGCAGGCGCCATTGAGGTCGCCCAGCTTATTGTCCGGCAGGTCCTCGGGCTTGGTGCAAAGCTTCAGGGCGCGGGAGATGAACACGTCCAGGTCGAACTGGGGGCTGGCGCTGCCGTCCGCGGGGGCCAGGCGGCCGGGCGGGGAGGCCGGGAGGCGGGGCTCGGGGGCGTCGGGGGGCGGGCTGGCGAGCTCGGGGCCGCCCTGCGTGCTCTGCACCCACTGCGCGATCTCCAGGAAGAGGCTGGCCGGCTCGTCCTGGCCCTGCGCGCGCGGCCCGGGCTCGGTCCCCGCCGCTGCCGCTGCCGCCGCCGCTGCCGCCGCTGCCGCCGCCGCCGCCGCCGTCGTCTGCTTCCAGTGCGACAGGTCCAGGATGAGCTTGGGCTCCGAGTAGTGGTGCGGCTTGCTGTCGCGCCACAGCAGCTTGTCCAGGTAGGACGGCGAGCCCACCTTGTAGTCGCACGAGCGCTCCATGGACGGGTGCGACTGCTCCAGGAAGCGCTCGGAGCTGCTGTGCGAGTCCTTGCGCGGGTCCACCTGCACGTCCTCGGCCAGCGGCCCCGAGCCTGCCCGCGGGTCGCGCTGCCCCTCGCTGGCGTCGGGGCACCGGTCGGGCCGCCACTCCAGGTCCGACGACAGGCTCACGGGGTACCTGCGTGGGGACAGAAGGGATGGGGTTGGCCTTCTGCTCACTGCCCATCCCTCCTACCACCACCAGGAGGGCGCTCGCGGGGGATGGAAGGTGTGCGACCCCTTTCCTGGGGCCAACGAGTCGGCACCCCGCTGCTTTGCCACCCAGCAGCCAGCGAGTACCCTGCCGGTATCATGCTTGTTTGGGGCGGGGGTTGGGGAGGAGTCACACCCTTGCAATGCTCAGGGGTGTGACTTTTAGCTCTGCACTCAGGATTCACTCCAGCAGTGCTCCGGGGACTATATGGGATATTGGGGATTAAACCCCCACCAGCTTCGTGCCCTACCTGTGCTATTATAGCTCTGGTTCCCCTGACAATATTTTTTTGAGCTCATACTATGTGCCAGACCAACTCCAGGCACCAGCAGACCACCACAGCAACAAAACAGCAAAATCCCTCCCTCGTGAAACTTGCTTTAAATCTTTTTGTGTTTTCCTTTTTCAGGTTTTGGTTTGGGGGTCATACCTGGCTATGCTCAGGAATCACTCCTGTTTCTGGGCTCCGTGGACCATACAGGGGAGCCAGGATCAAGGCAGGGTGGTCCGTGAGCAAGGCAAGTGCCTTAACCCCTGCACTGTTCCTCCCACCTGCCTGGGTAGTTTTTGCCTCACAGGTAGTGTTGGAGAGTGTGTGTGCTGGGGGTGGGCGGGGGTCACTCCGAGATGCTTGGAGGCCCATGCAGTGCTGGGCAGCAAACCTGGGGCTCCCGCATGCAAGAGCATCCTCTCCAGCCCCCTTTGTGACCTGTGGAAGGTCCTTTCTAGTGGACCCACCACACAGTGCTCTATGTGCGTGAGTCACCCGGGGTCTTTGCCGAGCTGCAGCCTGAACCCAGGAGCATGCTGGCCCCAGGCCCCGTGCTGACTCAGGAGGTCCAGTTAGAACCCTGTATCTGGTGGCTTTCAAGCCTATGGGTCATCTCCAGGGGGAGTCGAGGCTGGGATCGGGGCTGAGGGCCTGGCTGGGCTGCAGTGCCCTACGGGGCAGTGGGTACTACTGAGGCACACACCCTCAGGAGAGGTCACAGAAATAGAGATTCTACCCAGGGATGATGAGACCAGCTAACCACAGGCAAGGGAAGGACAGGAGGGCCATGGGGAGGTGGGCAGGGGGCAGCGAGGAGGCAGGTGGGTGGGGAGGCAGGGAAGAGGCAGGAAGGGCAGAGGTGGGGAGAGGGAAGGGGGCAGGCAGCGGGCAGGAGCAGTGGAGCAGGGAATCAGGGAGGCAGGGGATAGAGGGCAAGGGGGATGGAGAGAGGGTAGGATGCAGGGCCAAGGGGGGCAGGTAAGTTGGGGCGGGGTAGGCCGGCAGGGAGCAGGCGAAATCCAAGCAGACAGACAGGTGAGGTGAGGAAGCAGGCAGGGGACAGGTGAGGTCGGGGGAGGCGTGCAGGCAGCAGATGGGCCGGGGAAGGCAGACAGGCGGGCAGGCAGCCAGCCAGGCGCCAGGACTGTGCCCTTTCTCCTGGTGCCAGGTGCCTGACTCAGAGTCACAGCAGGGAGCCGGGAGCAGCCAGGAGCAGACACGGCCTCCTGCGCACACAGGAGAAACGGACCCTCCAAGGGTGGGTGGGTTGGCTGCAGGAGGGGCTGTGCACAGGATGTGGTTTGTGGGGGGTGGCACAGCCCTGCCCCTCCTGCTCTCAGGAGTGAGCCCACCCCCGGGCACAGCTTTCAGGTTTCTGGGAGAAAGGAACACACAATAGTGCCTGGTGGCCACCGGCCAAGGGCAAATGTGTTTAGGGCCAGTGATGAGGGCATGTGTGCTCAGAGGTGAGGGGGTACCGAGCCACAGGGCTGACCCCTGTCACCCTCCTCCCTCAGGTCGTTGTGATGAGAAAGGTGCCCGGGGTTAGAAGGCTCAGCGTTGCTCTGGTCACACCTGGTTGCTGACACCAACTCTGTGTCCAAGCTCAGGCCAAACTTGCTGAACCAATACCCCAGGCACCCGGATACGATGGGGTGAAGGAGGAGGGGGCACAGTTCCAGGCACACAGAGTGGCAGAGGGGTCTTCCTCTCTCTTTGTTGCCAACTGCAGCTAACGCAGATGACAACAACCCACGTGCCAACGAACCACTCCCAAAATAGCCACGCTGCCCGGCTCTCCCTCTGCCTCCTTCATCTGAAACCTGTCATCGTCCCATGACGGGAGAGGAGACACTGCATCATCTGTCCCTTATGTAAGCTGCCGTCGCATTTCCCACCACAGCAGGGCTCCTGCTGGGTCCCCGAGAGCCCTGGGCTGCTAAACCCCACCAAGCCTGCTTCTAAACTGAGCCACTCCCAGGCTCCTCCTAGGACGAGCAGACGGCGATGTCCATGTGCTGACTTCAGGACAGGAAGGGACCTGAGAGTTCATGAGAGCCCCCGAGAAGTCAGGACTCAATACTGCTTCTGGCTGATCTCCGAGAGAGATGTCAGGGTGCAGGCAGAAGGGTGCAGAGTCCAGACCCGGCTATGCAGCTTTCTGCATCCTGGGGTTGCGTGACCGTGGATGCAGGTTGGGGATGCCAGGGACCAGCTGTAGGACCCCACTCCAATCTCGAACCTTCTGTGCTGCTGCTGCTTGCTCCACGGCGAGTGGTCTCAGGAGCCACAGACACAAGCACCTCACAGAGATGCTTCCTGGCCAGTTTGGCTTCCTTTCTATTCCTTCCTTTTGTTTTCTGGGTTCAGGGACACCCCCAGTGGTGTTCAGGGTTTACTCCTGGCTCTGTGCTCAGGAATCACTCCTAGTGGGATTTGAGGAAACTTACACAGTGCTGGGGAATCAAACCAGTGATGCTGGGGATTGAACCGGTAATGGAACAAGTGCACGGCAAGCGCCTCCCAGCTGTACTCACTCTCCTGGTCCCTCGGCTTTATTTCTTGCCAGGCATTGTTGCGGGCTGCCTTTCCAAGGTCAAAATGTCATTCGGCTAGATTGGTCCTGCTCAGGGGTCCTGATTAAATGCTGGGCCCATACTGGGTCAACCCTGTATGTGGCAACACTGGGATGCTGGAGAGCCCATGGGAGGTGGGATGGCACAGAGGAACCCCCTCTCTATCCCCCACAGTAGGACATGCCAGTTCATGTGCTGGGATGGGGGGGGGGCATCTGGAACAGGAAAGACAGAGAAGGGAGACTGCAGAGTTGCCGGGAGCACCCCTGGGGCTATGCAATTTAGGAGGTGGCAGGAAGTCCAAAGGGCCTGGGGAGGTGAGGGCGCACATCCTGAGACAGCGCCAGGAGTCCCGACGCACCTGTCCCAGTTGGAGAGCTGGCTCTGGTTGGCTGCCATCAGCAGGATGTCATCGATCTCGTCCTCGATGCGGAAGGGGTGCTGCGAGGTGGGCTCATCCTCGGGGCACGAGTATGGGCTCAAGTAGGGGTGCTGCAGCCCCATCTCAGCAGTCAGGCGGTCCATGGGGTTAAAGGTCAGGATCTTCTCCAGGAAGTCAATGGCTGTGGGGAGCAAAGCAGAGCCTGCAGTCACTCGCTGGGCCTGAGACAGCCCAGCCAGTGCCAGCCCCAGGGCGCGCCTGTGTGTGTGTGATTTTCTTTCTTGTGATGCTTCCTTACCTCCAGGGACAGTTCTGCAGGGGGTTGCTTCTCAGACCTCAAAAGTGAGGGAACTAGAGAAACGTTTTATTTATTTATTTATTTATTTTGGGTCACATCTGGCGATGCACAGGGGTTACTCCTGGCTCTGAACTCAGGAATTATCCCTGGCAGTGCTCAGGGGACCATATGGGATGCTGGGAATCGAACCTGGGTTGGCCGAGTGCAAGGCAAATGCCCTACCCGCTGTGCTATCGCTCCAGTCCTAGAGAAACGTTTTAAACTTTTTCAGTTTATTAGAATGTAATGGCCTACAGAGAAAATTTAAGTAGAGACACTTAAGTCAGAATGTGCAGATTCCCTTCCTGTTACCAGTCATTCAGGAGTTTTACCAAGGCCACGTACTACTTTCTTTTCGAACTTATCTTTTCTCCTACTACATTTTATAGAGTCCCCTCCCCACACACACACACTCCGCCAAATTCATATAACCTCCCCAAACTTGGTAAATGATCTTTTGTCAGGTGATTTTATTTGGAAATAAGGCCAATATAGATGTAATTATTGAAGTTAAGATGAGGTCATATTGGCATAAGGTCCAAGAAGGACCCAAATCCTTGGTACAGTACAGCCATGTCCTTGTAAGAAGAGAGGAAATGAGATGCAGACACAGAGCCACACAGAGAGAATTCCATGGGATAGTTGAAATGGGAACAGGAGTCATGTGACTCAAAGCAAGAATGCACACCAAGGATCACAAGCAGCATCGGCTAAGAAACTGGCCTGAACATCGATTCTCTATACTTTTGTCTGTTATCAGGTGCTAAATTTGTTTCCAGATTCTGGCTATTGTGAATAGTGCTGCAATGAATACAGAAGTTATGGCACATCTACACAATGGAATACTACACGGCTGTTAGGGAAAATGAGGTCATGAAATTTCCCTATAAATAGATGGACTTGGAGAGTATTATACTGAGTGAAATGAGACAGAAGGAGAGGGACAGATATAGAATGACTGCATTTATTTAAAATGCAAAAACTTAAAAAAACCCAACCCAGTATGAAACCAATATCCAAGTTCAGGGAAAACGGACCAGGAGGACTGGCCAGTGGTTGTGAATTACAACAAGGGCGTGGGGGATGGAGGGTAGTTTAGGTAGAGGAGGGTTCATTAGGACAATACTAGTTGGAAATGATCGCTCTGGACAAGAACTGAGTTGAAAGTAGGTAAAGGGATATAGATGATAAGATATCAGCATCTGTATTGCAAACCATAATGCCTAAAATGAGATAGGGAGAGAGAAAAAGAGAGAGAAGAGAGGTATCTGCCGTGTAGGCAGGCTGGGTCGGGGGTGGCTTGAAGGGGTGGGAGGGAAACTGGGGACACTGGTGCTGGGAAATCACACTGGTGGAGAGGGATGGGTGTTGGAACATTGTATGACTGAGATGTAATCATGAACAATTTTAGAATGCTCTATCTCATGGTGATTCAATAAAAATAAATAAATAAACAAAATAAAATAAAAAGAAGAAACTGGCTTTAACAGGCTCTCACTGAGTTTGATGCTTGCTGCTTGCTATCAGGCTTCTGAACAGTGGAAGAATAAAAATCTGTTGTTAAAGAAAAAAAAAAGTGAGGCGACATCCAGAGGGGTCAGTGACTTATTTGAGGTCTCGATGGCTGGAGGAGGTCTGGGAACTCTGCCTGAGGTTAGATTCCTCCAGAGACAAGAACTGAGGGTGGAGCTGGTTCCTGTAATAGTATCTCTGGAGCACTTGTCAGGGAGCAGGGAAGATGCCCAACAGAGGGGCCCCAGGGATGGCTCGGAGCACAAACTCCTGCCTTGCAAGAGTGAGGCTGTGAGTTCAATGCCTGCTGCCACCCATAATGCACCAAGCACAGTCTAGGCGATTCTGCTTTCTGGAGCACCTGGAGCTATGACAGAACCTGTGATATACGGCACACTGCCAGGAATGCAAGCCTCAGGGACTACCCTACCGTGCACACCCAATGAGCACTGCAAAACAGCGAAATGAGTACAGCCCCCAGCCGGTATGTGACCCCCATCTCCCAGCATGTGCTGCAACCAAGATGTGTCTGAGCCCTGGTCAGTGCAACAACAAGAGCAGGGAAGAAGGAATAAAGAAGATGGGATAGTACAGAAGAGAGAGAGAGAATACAGTGGGAGGGCACTTGCCTTCCATGTGACCGACCCTGGTTTGATCCCCAGTACCCCTGAGCCTGCAGGACTGATCTCTGAGTGCAGAGCCAGGAGTAATCCCTGAGCTCCGCTGAGTGCTGCCCCCCACCCCATAATTAATTAATTAAAGAGATGCCGAAGATGTTGTTAAAGGGGGTGGTGGGCTCTGTTCCACTGGGGTCCACCAGGAGGCAGCATGGAGCAAGTCGCGGAGGTGGTTCTGTGGGGTGTGCAGGGCGCTGGGGTGACTCCCTCCACTCCCACATCACAATCTGAGTGATGCTGGTGTATGTGGGTGGGGCACCTGCTCCTTCCAGGAGCAGGATATGTCTGCAGCAGGCACCCCTTCTTGGGGAGAGGGGGTGCCTGGCCGCCGCGTGCTCCTGAGTCCTGAACTCCATCTGCTCCAGGTGTTCCCTGGGGGTTGATCAGGATATTTCCCAAGCACGCTGAAAGCCCCAGCCTTGGCTGAGTCAGGCAGGAACCGTCAATGGCCAGGTGGAGGGGTGGTTCCAGGCAGCTGGAACGTGGTGGCAGGAAGGACACAGCGAGACAGGAAGGGATGCCGGTCAGTGTCTGTGGCCACCACATCCATCCACGTCCAGATTTCAGCAGTCAGGGGCCTCTGTGTGGGCACTGGCCGAGCATTTGAGAAACACCTTCCTGAAGGGGGATCCCGCAAGAGTGAGGTCAGCCCCGAGCAATCCCAGGGTGAGGGCTAGCCTGGAGCTTTATTGCCCCTCAGCCCTAGATAGTCAGTCCAGACAGCCTGTGCGGGAGTGGGTAGCAGCTGAGGCCAGGCCCAGGCTGCTGTCCCTGCCCGGGGACTCAGAGGAAGCCTCCCCCTACCCCTCGCACCAGCTATGGATCTCAACATGAAAATTCATCCATGATTCAAGAAATCGATGGACTCTGAAGGTCACGGGCCTCCCAGGACAAGGCGGCGCTGCTCTGCAATCCTAGACCAGATCAGCCGAGCCGCAGTAATTCTAATCCCCACCCTCAAAGCTCTGAAGCTCCAAAGGCTCCGGGGTAGGGGCTTGGGGGTGAGGTATCCAGGACTCCAGTGGCTCAACCTCCCGGGCTGGGCTGGGAGTCCGCGGTAGACTCAGCACAGTGCCTGTATGCTGACCGCTTCCCTTGGACTTCACCTATTTCTCTGGGCCTTCTGATGCGAAGCCGAGAGCATGGACACACTAAACACGGGCACACCTCCGTGAAATCCTGCGAACCCTGGAGTTTAAACTGACCACTGTTGTGACTGACACCCCAGAGGTGGGTGCCACGTTTCTGGAGAGCAAGGTCCCTTTTCCCACCTGACCTGGCCTCCTCTAGCCAGTACCCACACCAGTAGGCAGAAGACCTTCCTAGTACCAAGCCTGTATCTGCCCCCGTTACCTGCCACCCTGAGCCTGCTTTAGCCCTCTGGGGTCCCCCCCATATCACATGCACTCTCCTCCAAGGGATTGGCACTCTGAGACCCCCTCAGTCTGCTGCAAAGCTGGCTGGCTGAGGGAGATGTAGCCATACTGCTGAGACAGTAAGTAGGGGTAGAAGGGATGAGTGTCCCCTGACTTCCAGGCCTCATGCACAAAAACCTCCTGCAAGAATCTGCTTTGCCTTCCCCTGACTGTGGTTGGCAGCTGGTGCCCAGGGTGCCCATATGAGGCGGTGGAAGGACCATCTGACAGCCTGGGCCCATGGCAGAGCCCAGAAAGTGTCTGTACTCTGGCCTTGAGGTGGGCACTGACCCCACTGTCAGCTGAGAGGGTTTAGCTTCTTGGCTGTAGCATGAAATTCCCTCAGTTCAGACTCTGGGCAATTCTCCCCACTACACACACACACACACACACACACACACACACACACACACACACACACACACACACACACACACACACTCCCTTTCTCAGCTCCATCAACCCCTCTAGGTGCTCTTAGGCATTGCTAATGCCACCAGGCTTCTGTCCTCTCTTGTTACCTCCTGGAAGCCAGTGGATTCCAAGCAGAACCTCTCTGGGTCCCTGGGGTTCTGAAAAATATTAATGGACTCAGTATTCATTTCACTTTCTCTGCTGCAGCCGGGAGGTTGCGGGGAGGGGAAGCTGGACCCCAGGGTCTGGTCAGCAGCTCCTGATGGATGGAGGAGGACGAATTCAGGCTCAGGAAGAGAAGACTGTGTCTTCCCCACTTCCCTGCAGCGGGTAGGGCCCCTCCCCCAAACAGCAGGGCATGGAGACCAAAGTGACGAGTGTTCCGTTGGCCCCGCCTGTCTGCTTTTGGACTATGTGATGTACAGAAAATGTCTTAACCATTTCTGTCCACTGAGAATTTGGGTCTCCCTGACAATGGGCAGACTCAATATCCCCTAATCTTGGGGTTTTGGAAGGAGCCTGGGGCAAGGCGAGGCCCTGAGTGGATGGGACTCCTGCATCCTCTTCCTGGGGTATTCACTCATGACACCGCCCCTGGGTTCTGGGACTGTTAGACCCCCATGGTCATAGTGCAAATGGTGAACAGAAGATGGCAAACAGCTGCCCAAGGTCACACCCAAGGTCAAACAGATCTTTGCTGTGCAGCTAGACTGAGCCTGGACCTGGCTTTGAGGATAAAGTCTGTGGCCTCCGTCCTTCTGAGGGGAAGAATGAAGAATGACAGAAGAAGGCAGGCGAGAAAATGAGGAAGAGGAGAAGAAGAAAAGACCAGGATGAGCTATGGGGGAGGGCGTTTAGGAATGGTGACTTTGAGGATTGTTAATGGGCCTGAGTCCAGGGGTCTGGATGCAGCGTGGACAGTGCCCTCTGCTGCCCTGCCTCGGGCCCTGCTTGGCGCCCACGGTCAGCTACCTTCATTGTCCACCTCGGGCAGCAGCTTGCGCAGGGGCCGCTTCACCTCCCAGGTGCTGCTGACGAAGCAGGGCATGACCCGCAGCAGCTCGTCCTTGTCCTCCTCCCGGATCACGGGGATGGTCTCCAGGATGAGCTGCATCTGCTCCAGCTCGTGGGCCCCTGGAAGGCAAAGCCAGAGGTGAGGTCAGGGCCAGGCCAGGGCACTGAGGGAGGTAGGGGGTGGGGGGTGTGATGTTGGGTAAGTCATCTGGGGCTGCATGAGCAGTACTGGATAGGGGGCAGTGAGGAACAGCACTGGGTGGGGAGCTGAAGGCTGGGCTGGGCTGTTGGCTTTGCCACGCATGTGCTGTGTGACAGTGAGCAGACTGCTCTCTTGCTCTGGGTGTGGCTTTTTCAAATGTCTGCCCAGGAATGGGTCCATTGGCTCCAGATGGATTGGCCAGCAGGGAGGAGATGGGCACAGCCCAGAGAGAGCATCATTCTCTCGTTCATTCAGCAAAGTAATTGATGGGGAGTGGGGGGAGGGGGTAACATTCTATGGTACTTGGGGTTTGCTCCCAGTGGTGCTTGGAGGACCATGTGGTGTTGGGGATGGAATCAGGGTCAATTGCATGCAAGGCAAGTGCCTGGGCAATCTCTCCAGCCCCCAGAATCCCTCTGATTGAATATCACTTCCCTGTCAGCCCCTTCTGCTGTGTGCTCAGGTCAACGTTGTCTCCTGGTTCTGCCCCTTGGAGGCCCTTGGGATGCTTTAAATTCCAAATCCAAAGCACCAACATCTGCCCGAACGGGGTCCTCTTGGCCTCTGCTGGCAGGGCCCTCATAGAGAGGCCGTCTTGGGATTGGGGAAGCCCTTTGGACGGCTCACCCCCATCCTAGTGAGAACTCCAGTGTCAGGAAGAGTAGGAGAAAGGGGCTGAAATGGAGGCTGGGGAGGGGTCCCTCTCCAAGACTGAAAACACATGGTTACTCAATTTCAAAGTCCTGGGCTCCAGACATCAAAGTCCTCAGCTTCTCCCATATTTGGAGGGAAATGATAATATGTATCCTCCAATCAGTGACAGGAAAGACATAGGAGTCATTTCCCAGAGGAAGACTGAGGGCTGGTGGGAGAGCATAGCAGGAAGGGCATTTGCCTTGCATGTGGACCAACCCTGCTGGATTCCTGGCACTGCAGAGAGCGCCCTGAGCACCATCAGGGGTCACCCCTAAACACTGATCCAGGAATAGTCCCTGAGCACTGCACCCTGAGCACTCATGATCACCCCTGCTTCCCCCCCACACACACACACAAAAGAGAAAGACTAGCATGTTTAGCAGATATTAGCAGGTGTTTTTGCACAGGGCTCCTGTAGATGAGGCAACACCAGAGAAGGGTGAGGAGAAGGAACGGGTTGAGTGACTTGCCTGCAAAGAGCATTCTCCCGGTCAGCATCTCGGCCAGGATGCAGCCGGCTGCCCACATGTCGATGGCTTTGGTGTAGTTGTTCGGGGACAGCAGCAGGCGTGGTGAACGGTACCACTTCGTCACCAGCCCCTCTGACAGGTACCCCTGAAAGACAAAAGCCCCAGTTCTGAGGGTCAGAAGCTTTTCTTCCCACAGCCCCTAGAGTCTCCCCTATGGGGACTGGGCCCCTCTGGGGACCTCCTTTAATCCCTGTCCTGGCCTTTGACTTGAAGGTGCTTTAGGGAACAAACTCAGTTTAGAGGGGCTCAAAATGGGGGAATCCTATGAGGTCCCGGGGTTCTGTGTTGAAAGGCATCCAGGATACCAAGTCAGAAGCACCGCTTTAAGCCCTGCCACAGGGGTGGGGTGGGATGGAGGGGGGTGGAGGGGTGGGATAATGGGAGCATTGGAGGTGGAGAATAGGCACTGGTGGAGGGATGGGGACTCAATCACTGTATAACTGAAACCCAAGCACAAAAATTTGTAAGTCTACAACTGTACCTCATGGTGTCTCAGTAATAAAAATTAAAAAAAAAAAAAAAGAAGAAGCACTGCTTTCACAGCCCTGTCTCAAGTAACTCAATGGACTGTTTCCCCTCCTCCAGGAAGAAACTGAGAAACTCAGGAGCCATCCTCAAGTTCATTATCACCATCAGCGAACAATGATGTGGCATAGGGATTGCCTTTATCCAGAGACTGTATCTCAGGCGCTGGGTATTTTAAATCAAACCAGCCACTTTGGTGCTGAGGATTAGAATTAATGCTGTTAAATGCCAGACTCCAGGCCCCTGCTGAGAATGGCTAAGATCAGCTTTCAAATGGAAGTGGGCAGAGGGCAGAAGGAATCAGGCTGCATGGCACAAGTTTGAGTTAGTTTAAAAGATTCTGGGAATTCTATACGTGGCTTTGGAGTGGGGGAAAGATGTCCCAGCTGATCTCAACTCAAGGGTCTATGCTCCGAGATGGACTCTCTCCACATGATGCCGGGATGGACTCTCTCCACATGATGCCTGTGGAGTTTAGCACCTCTAGAGAGGAAAATAGAGCCGGACCACCTGGAACTTGTTTTCCACATAGCTTTAAAAAAAAAAAAAAAAGAAAGAAAAGAAAGAGAAAAGAAATTGGCCAAACAGTAAAACCTGGGAAATGTGATGTGGATTACCTGGAAGTCGAGACACATTTGGGGGTAAAGGTGGGATAATACAGACCAGAGGGTTCCAATAAGAGATTGTAGAATGGGCTTGCTATTTACTATGGTAGTTCCTATTTTGGGCTGGAGAGATAACACAGCAGGTAGGGCATTTGCTTTCCAAGCGGCCTACATGGCCGACCCGAGTTTGATTCCTCTGCCGCTCTTGGAGAGCCAGGCAAGCTACTGAGAGTATCTCGCCCATACGGCAAAGCTTGGCAAGCTACCCGTGACGTATTCAATATGCCAAACACAGTAACAATTGTCACAGTGGAGACATTACTGGGCCCGCTCAAGCAAATCAACGAACAACAGGAGGACAGTGACAGTGACAGTTCCTATTTCACATTAAATCTCCCCCCCCCCTTTTTTTTAATTGATGGAAGAATGCTTTAAAGACCTGAGATTAAAACAAAGGAAAAGTTGAGAAATCAAGGATCACTGGATTTTACCACTAGGACTTCTTGTGTACAGCAGTGGGATCTTGTTCCACAGTCATATATCTATCTATCTATCTATCTATCTATCTATCTATCTATCTATCTATATCTATCTATCTATCTATATATACATATACATACATATATATATATATATATATATATATATATATATAGTCTAGTCCCAGGTCTGCACCTTCGGAAGTTTCAACAAACACTGTTGAATGAATGAATGAGAAATGTCTCCCATGAATGTCAGATAAATGTCTGCTCCACAATGGCAAACCACTGTTGGGGACCACTGGTTCTCAGAGGGGGGTCCCCTCCTGGTGTCCACAAGGCGGGGGGGCCCTCTTTTGACTCCCTAGCTTTATATAGAGAGGCTCCATTCTCATGGAGAAGAGTTTACAAATGCTGAAGAGTTCACAAATGCTGCCAGCTACTTGTCCCCTACCTTGTTCCAAGAAGGACTGGAAAGTATAATTAATTTTTCATGTGTATATGTGTGTGTGGTATCAAGGATTGAACCCAGAACTATATATATGCGAAGCATGTGCTCTAGTACTGAGTTATATCCCCAGCCCCGAAATTGGTTTTTAGGTGGGATTTATTAAACTCTAAATTATGCACAGCAAAATACAGTTTTGTGAGTTTTAACAGAAGTATAGGATCATGCCTCACAGTCAAGATATGGACACTGCTATAATTTCACACAATTCCTTCACATAGTCACCAGTCAACAGCCCCCAGCAATTGTTTTAATATTTTTTATTTAATTTGTTCTTATTAAAGAACTGTGATTTACAAAGTTATTGTTAGTTGAGTTTTAGGCATGTAATATTTCAAGACCAGTTCTACCTCCAGTGTCAACTTTCCCTGGTTTGACTTTCAGTGTTGCCGTATTCCTCCCCTCCACACGCCCTCATCCCTGCCTGTCAACTTGTCAAGTGCATTACAAAGTTCCAGTGGTTGCAGCTTAGAGCTCTCATTTTCAGTGTTATTGAGTCTTTGTTTTGGATATATGGCTGTCCCTCTCACCCAGTATAATCGAAGCCCTGATGCCTGTTCACCCATGTCTTCCAGAAACTGCTGTTTTCTGTCCTCTGGTTTTGCCTTGATCATGATGTCAAACATATGGGGCCATGGGTACAATTTAAGCTTCAAGTCTAAATTCTTCCTCTTAATATAAGGCCTCTAGAATTGTTCACCTTATTGCCGATCTTGTAGTCGGACTCTGAGCCATGAGCAGAGTGGATAACCTCATCGAGAGACGGGTCAATGGCTCAGAGCAAAGCTTCTCAAGTCCTGGCTTGCTTTCAAATGATGGGGGACCTGGATGGCCACAGTAACCATTCCCCACCATTGTGGTTGTGACATGCAGGTGGGGCTGTGTCTGACCCAGTTGATGCTGAATATCCTATCCCCCCACCCTCCTGACTCAGGCCAACGAGAGTTCTCCATCCCAGCAGCAGTCCTTCCAATAATAGAGGTTAATTTTTTGTGTTACTGACGCTCATCAGAAGATCATTTGGCTAAAACCAATCACCCTCTCAGAGGCCCAATGTAAGCAGAAGCATGTGGCTTCCCTCTCCAGTCTTCTCCCTCTGAAGGTATAATTCTTATTTGTGCCAACAGCTACATCAGACATACTAGAAACTTTTCATCATAAAAAATAAATAAACACCATAGCTAAATAGCTTCTCTTATTGCTGACTCCAGAGTTATTAAACTCATTTCCATGAAGACATGCAGCCAGGAATCTCTCCAGCTGAGGGAAGGAGCGTAGAATCTTCTATGGTTACAGTTCATTCCCAGCAGTGGCTATTCTCAGCTCTGTGCTGGGTGGTCAATCCTGGCAGTGCTTGGGATCATGCAGTGCTGGGGATTGAAGCCAGGTCGTCCACATGCAAAACATGCACTCAGCCCACGGAATTGTGTCTCCTGCCCTGGAACATAATCACGAGGCCACACACAATGACACTCTCACTGGTCAGCTCCCCGGTGCTTTCCAGGGCTGCCACAGTAACACACGAGGAAATAGCATGTATGAGTCAGTCCCACTGTCTTTGTAAGCTGAGATGACCTACAACTGACCTGCTGTCCCTTTCTCAGGGTGTCCCTCCCCAATCCATGTTCCAGGGGACTCTGTCCAGTGACACCCCCACCCTGGAAACTGAACCATGGGCCCAGGTTGAGACTCCATTGGGTGACTGCATATTCACTTGGATTACCATGGAACTGCTTTTCTAAAACCATTTACTGTCATTTCTTGGCTGTACCTGCAGGGCGTTGCTTCCTGGACCTTCTCAGGTACTCAAATCTGGTTCTAATCCCTGATATCAAATGACTTCATATTCTCATGGCACCAACTCCCTCCTCACATCTCTTCCTGACTTATAGCATCTGGGCAATGTCAATACTGGGCAAAGCATTGTTCTACTATATTAAAGAATTACTGATTAGAGAGTAAAGCAAGAAAAAAAGTCTGCATATTCAACACAGAACCACACACACACACAATTTCTCCATTTGCGGTAGGCTGAATCGAGGACACAGAACCATGGATATAAAGGGTTGAGTGTGATGGCAAAACCAAAATTCACCCTCCTAACTCATTTTCTGCACATGGCTCAGTGGTGATATGTACAGTCATATTGTGTGATAATTATTTCCATCCATGACCAGATTCTTCATCTTGCAAATCCAACTCTATACCCATTAAACAACAGCTCCCCAAACTCCTTCCCAGCCCCTGGTAATCTGATCTCTGAATCTGGTAGCTCCAGATCCCCAGATAAGTGGAATTAGATTATTATTTGTTCTTTTGCAAAAGGTTTGTTCCATTTGGCATAAAGTCACCTCCTCTTATTTTAACTAATTCTTCTGATAGGGGCTACTCATACCAAGTGGTGCTGTGGAGGGCACAGGTGCTGGGGGGAAATCTCACACATGCTATGCATTTGAGCCATGCATTTGAGCCATATATATGGCCTTTTCCTGACTTTTGTTTTTGTGTGTGTGGATTTCAGGAACGGAAGTTATACAGGCAAAGCACCTGCTCTCCCACCACCACATTCTTGGCTCATCTCTCCAAAGGGGGAAGCGATAGAAACGGCTTTTTCTCGGTGGTGGTAGTAGTGGGTATGCCCAGAAGTGCTCAGGACTTACTTCTGACTCTATGCTCAGGAACCACTCCTGGTGGGATTTGGGGACCCGATGCGGCGTGCAGGACTGAACCTGGGCTGGCTGTGTGTCATGCCTACTGTGCTAAGAGATGGCTTCTTTTCAAAATGCACTTTCCTGCAAGGTGGTTATCTTCTGCCCAGCAAGAGTGCACTGTCAGAGATTAAACCTTCGGACAGAACCTCGTGGAATCCAATTGTGACTCAGAATTCTATTATGGCTCAGAGACGTGGCAAATGTATTGCTTGTCTGAAGATATTCCAGGGCTGCAGCTCTAGGCCACCATCCTTTCC